AAGGAGGCAAAGAGTTTTGGTCTACGGGCTCAGCACGCATTGTCAGCCTACAAGGAGCTTATTCTTTTGTAAGTTTTTCTGGTTACTAGTTTTTTGATCACTCCCGAAGAGAGCGTGACTTCATTAAAGCGGTCATTTAGCCACCTGCATCTCCTTGATAAAGGATCTCCTGAGGAAAAAGAGTTTTCAAAGCGAACATGCTTTCATATCTTGACAGTTGAAGAATATCGAGAGATGGGAATCGTTCTCATCAGAAAGTTCAAGGTTCGTTTGAATGCGATCGTGAAGAATTGTTCACTTCCTTGATTCATTCAGTTCAGAATTTAAAATGCTTTCTGCTCACTTTCTGAAAAGATGTGATCTCTAGACACTGAAAATACATTATCCTTTCCATTATCTTTTTCTCATAGTACTCTAGCCACTCCCTAATGGCCTAACCTTTTTTCATTTCTTCTCAACTCTTGCATACTGATTGAATATTTTCTCAACGGGACTTATCTTTTTCCAGCCTGGTTTCTTATCGAAAACATTTTTGCGAGAACTGATCTTGGCAACTCATCATTACTTCCGCCTGCTCGAGCGCAGTGTGAAGGCTGGTCAATTAACGACAGTCACCAAGAGAAGTAAAATAAGGCGTGCTCGTAGAAAAAAGAGCCCAGGTTCGTACCCTCTAACTTTCCTATTTCCTTTTCATTTCAAATCGGCCGAGCTGAGTTTGTTTAAGAGGATACATTTGGTCCCGAGCCGCTTCCTGCAGTGGTTGATAGTATGAGTGCTGAAGACATGGAGAAAAAATGGTCTCAGATCGCTGATGAGATCAAAGACATTATTTTGGGCAATGTGGAACCATCAGTGGATCAGATTCCTATAAATTCGCTATTGGATGTGCAAGAAGAGCAGCATCAGTTCGTAGAAATTTTGGAAAAGTTCTGGAAGCTTGTCTGTTGTTTATCGATTTTATTGTGTGGTGTCTTCAGAAAATTTGCTATGTTGAAAATTCAAAGAGCCATGCGCGAGTGTCGCCCAAAGGATGCCATGGGGCTGTATCGAGCTTCGAGAGCTATGTGGTCTACCGAAGGTCTGCGGTTTGATATCCTCGAATTTCACATTATCCTCTAAAACCCTTTTCAGGCATTTTTGGCGACCCTGAAAACAGCACTGATCAACAAATTGAGGAGATTCGAGAAATATTCTTCACGGATTTGAAAGAGGTAGAGCTCGAGGGGCTTTCAGACTGTTTACTTAAAGAGTAGCTTGTTCTTAAGGTAGCTGATGAGCTTCTCAAAGCTGAGATAGCCGCTCAAAAGAAATTTGCTTCCGAATCGATGATTGATGGAGAAGATGAGGAGGATCTTTACAGTAGTGAAGAGGAAGAAGAAGCCAGATATGAGACCAAAGAGGTATACAAAATCGTTTCTGGTAATTTCTGCTTCCTAATTTTCAATTGTTAGGTGAAATTCGATCTTCAAGAGTACGTCAATTTGTATGCTCGGACAGACGTCTTACGATGGTTAGTCTATTTTTTTCATTCTCAGGAGATGCCCTATCAATTTTTTTTTATTCTGGCTGTCCTGAAAGACCCTTTCAATATTTAGGTACGTTTTTTTGCTGAAAGATTTCGCAACCAATTCTGTTGAAGTAAACAAAGCATTGGTGAAGCTTCTACATCGCGTGGCATTCGACTTGAAGATGCAAACGCGCCTATACCAGGTTACTGTATTATTTCCTTCTTCCTCTCTCTCATTTGTGATACGCCGCCCAAGCTTCGTTATAATGTTCTGTCAAAGTCCTTTATGTCCTCCTGCTCTTCATGTTTGTTGAATGATTGGAGGATCTTTTTTTTTTCGAAGTAATAACTCATTCGTTTACTAATAACTCAGAGTGGGAACAAGGAACTAACTCCCATCTCAAATTTTTTTGTTTTAGTTGTCCTTGTTTCGGATCTTCGCAGAAGTCAGAAAACATTTGGACGGGATGACTGTGGAAGAAATGAAGAAGCATCCGTTATTTGAGCTATACACTTTTGGCTATCATTTGTTGAAACGGTCAGTACTCTTTTTAGCTTTGCTTAAACTTCGCTCGTTGTTGAATGAATGATTCTAAGATTCCAGTTTCTTTTTGTTCTATAAAGAGAAAGGAGATATGCTTGCCCCCGAACTTCTGTTCTGGAAGGGATCCAAGGAATGTTATGAGATTGAGAATGGTGATGGCTACGAGTAAGTCAGGACTTAGGAGTGCCTACACTATAAATTTCCATAAATGTCATCCAGGGAGTCTAAACATCAGAAGGATCCATATTCATGGAGTGAAGAATTGGAAAATGAGCTTCGCTCCCTCTACAACGAGTACCGAGACATGGATGAGAGACCCGAAGGTATCCGTTAACTATTCCTACATTGCACATGATGAACATGACTTACTCGGCATTCTTTGAGGCATGGATGTTCTTGACTTTATTGAACCGAATCTTAGTCGACCACGGACTCGAAAGCAAATATTGAGGAAAATGAAAGAATTTGCTTTGGATCCGCTTGGAGCAAAAGCTAACAAGGGGTATGATTTTTTATAGCGAAAAGTCGCAAACAACACATTTATCTTATTAATTAGTTGAAAAATTTTCATACTTCTTTGACATTCATCCTTCTATGCATAAGTGTGCAAAGTGCATATCAATTCTACGACGGCCAAGTTCCATTTCAAGTAACTTCTATCTCTGAGTTGCACCGAATTGTAAACGCAGCTCGGTTACAAGTGAATGTAACATGTAAAACATTTTCTCTTGGTCAGTATTTTAAGTGTTATGGTGTCTTTCACTCAAAACAGGATATACTTAACCCTGGTAATCGTAGCATATGTCATATAATGTGATATCGTTCGGTTGAGGTTCTGAAAGCTTTGGTATGGAGCTTTCTCAAAATAAGCAAAGATTCTTCTGAAATAGCAAAGCATCATCGGGAGCAAATCAACTAAGTGAAGGGATGCATTCCAGAACAATGAGCAAGAGTCTCCGCTTGCTAACTGCGGGTTTAGAATTCTTCGGAGTTTGAGACATCCTTAAAACCTCGGGTCCGGGTAGGTCTTCGATTAACCTATGTCGAGGCTAGCCTATGTTTTACTGAAACTTGTACGATTTGTTTATAGTTTGATGTTTTCTGATGTCTTGAGACAACACTAATATATTGAAGTGATGCTTATTGGTCCAATTTAATTTCCTCTCAGATCGATAATGGATCGCAACTTCCCCATAATCAGAGCCAAAGAGCTAATTGAACAGTATAATGAGTTGGCAGATAAGAGTGGTAAGTTGTTCGTCTGTAAGTTCTAGCGGAGAAAGAACAAAATTTATGCTTTTCAGAGGACATGGTGGACTTCTTGCGCACTAACTTAGCTGAAACACATGGTGAATTTTCTCGACAAAAGATCATCAAACAGATCAGCTACCTGGGAATTGTATATGAGAAGAAGAAGCCAGTGTGATTAACTTTTTCACCTATTACAGTTACATTTTCTTTGCTTTTGACTATTCTTCACTCAAACAAGGGTGCTACTGCCTTCATCCCTGTGGTAAGGATCGAATTCGCTACCGTTTTATTCTCCAGTAACTAAGTCGACGTCTTCGAAAGATCTATAGTGCGCCTTCACTTTCGAAGTTTGAACGCAAAATTATCTCAAATACTTAAATATTATGGGACTGGAAATTTACGCTAAATTTCCTGAACCGGTCGTTTCAGATCGAAAAATTACAAATGGTCAGATGGTCTACGAACGGAACTAGCTGCCCTCAAGGAGCAATACTACGAGATGGATGCAGAAGACCAAGAGCTTGGTACGTACACATGTTCTCAGAAATTTTTGATGAGTATTTATAGACCAAGCTTTCGGAGCCTATCAGCTTTTGCATCTGATGGTAATTTTCAGTCTCTTTGCTTGATTACTGTGCACGTCGGTTGAGTGAAAAGAAGCCGCGTCGACAGATTGAGCGAGAGCTGATAGCACTTGGAGCTGCCATTGAGCCAACTGAGAAACGGAAGAATAGACCGTAAGTCAAGTTAATAAATTACATATCATCGAGGAACTCTACCAATATGTGCTGTGGCTTTTTAAGATCGAAGCCCAGAAGCGCAAGTGCAAGTGGCAGCGAACCCGATGATGCTCTGGAGCCTAGAGGTTTGTCTTCAAGCGCCAGCAACAAATTGGAAAGAGTTCCTGGTGAAGATAGTGACGCTGATCTGGATCTTGAAGATGAAGCGGTATGCGTATGGTTCGAAAAAGATAATTAATTAGCATCGCTCTCATTGCGGTATAAGTCATACTTTAGCATCATCTTGATGAAGATAAGGAACCAAGCGTTGAAACGAGAGTTCAGTCTGGCGTTGATTTCGAAGGAGAAAGAAGCCATTCACCCAGTAAAAGTTCGGCTAAAGAAGCAAATGCTAAAGAAGCTGATGAAAATGCTGTTTCTTCAGGAAATACCCAGGATCATACGGTAAATTTGTAAACGATTTCTTGGCGCCTTATTCATTTATTGAAATGGAAAAGCAGAAATTGTGGGGGTGTTGGTAATGCGCAAGTGCCATCAAAAAGGCAATGCAAGTGCGCCTTGTAAAATCGGCTGTAAAGTTTTCTAATTTTTCAGAGCCGGATCAAAAAGAGGCGTGTGATTACTAGCTCTGATGAAGAAGATAATGTAGAAGAAGCGGTGGATAAGGAAGATAAGCAGGACGACGAAACTACTTCTGAATTGCCCATCGTGACAAAGCCAAAAAGAAGTCGGCTCGTTTTGAGTGATTCGGATGAGGATTGAATTCGAATATTGTTATGGACTACAGAGTCTGAAATTTTTTTGTGTACAGTATTCATTAACACTATTCACTAAGGTTGCTCATGGTTGTAATTAAGGGATTCTTAGATTTTTGATACGACTGGCTTTGTTGNGATAAGGAAGACAAGCAAGACGACGAAGCTACTTCTGACTTGCCCATTGTGACAAAGCCAAAAAGGAGTCGGCTCGTTTTGAGTGATTCGGATGAGGATTGAATTCGAATATTGTTATGGATAACAGAGTTTGAAATTTTCTTTGTGTACAGTATTCATTAACACTATTCACTAAGGTTGCTCATGGTTGTAATTAAGGGATTCTTAGATTTTTGATACGACTGGCTTTGTTGATTACCTGTACATTTTTTCGGAATTTGTACTTAGTAGTGTATTTATTTATAAATTTTTAGGTTGATACCATCAAATAGAGAGGAATACAAGAATAAATTGTTCATAACTACTGTTTTTCTGTTTTCTGAGTTCATTGTATCTCTAGTATCGTGTATGCCCTACCGTCAACGACTTCTATTTCATATAGCCGTATCTCTAGCGAATAGAAACCTTCATGAAGAACCTTACCAAAAACAAAGCCTCTGTTTCTTGGAACAGTATTTATGTGAAAAATTCAAGCGAGTATTATTGCGTTCTCCTCCAATGTTTTTATTTCCTAGCAAGTTTTGCAATAGAAATGTGTGCAAGTTGCGGTCAAAACGCTTGAAGGTACGCCGAAATTTTGCATTGGTGCCTGCTTTGCTTGTTTCACATTTTTCGTGTTGAGAATCTCCTTGGTCAGGCCTTATTAACTTTCAGACCTCAGGTTTTTTTTCCAAAATTCTCCCTGCTATTCAGTTCGTTTAGGTGCTCGGTAGTTTTGCAGAGGGCCATTTCTTTTTGTGAATAGCTCATTCCTGAACCTAAATTCATTGAAAGAAAGTGTTTTTACTACAATAGACCCTTTACAAACACTTTCATCCAAGGGAACTTATCTTCCCGTGTTTGAGATGCATGCGTAAAGATTTTGCTCTTTTACTTTCATTATCTTTCGTAACCAGATTCATCAAAATTGTCGCTCCTAATCATATTCAAAATGTTTGATATGTATTTATTGTTGTATGCTCTGAGTTAACTTAATTTTTATGGTATTTTGTTCAGTATGGAGGAAATTTTCTTGACATCACCAACTTGTTTTGCTACCGACGAAAGCAACAACATTGCGGTAGGGTTTGTCGATGGTATTGTGCAATTCGCTAAATATGATCTCTCGAAAAAGTCCTTCAAAGTAAGTTTTCTACTGCTTTTGATCTAGTTTTATTCTAAACATTTTTCCAATTGATCTTCTACTTTTGAGGATTATTTCCAATCAATATCACATTTTTTGAACGTTACAGACTGAGTGGAAATTCAAAACGAAAGCAAGTGTTCGAGGGTTGGTGTTCAATCCAGAACTCTCAGAAGTATATGCTGTAACGCGGAATAGAGGATTGTCATGTTTTGATGTGGAGACGGGACGGAGGTATGCGGTCAAAAAGCCTATTTTGTCCATTAATTTTTCCATTTATTTTCACTTCTTTACTATGGACATTGGCAAGCCAACCAAGAGAAAGATATGCAATTTCTCGCGAGGCAGTCCTCATAACTGGCTCAGTACGGGTATATTGGAGAATCGCATGGTTCTTGAACAAATTACACGCTTAAAACGGGAAACGACCGTTTTGTTTTCTTTCTGTGATTCTCAGAGGCATTGACTGTTTGTGATATTGTGACTCATTGAAGTAGAGGGCCTAAAAATGATAATTATACACCTTGAAAGTTTGGCACAACTGATAAGGACGGGCAGAAGATGTCACTGTAAGGTTCGCTTCCTCAAAATGCATTCTACAGAACTTCAGCGGTGTTTCCGTCGTAGACTTTTGCCAATTGAGTGCTCCTTATTGCAAATTTCCACCAAAACGTAGTCTTCTACAAAATTGTCACAGGAAGCGATGTCTCGTTCATGGACATGACGATAAGCCCACTTCTATTTGTCTGCTGCAACCAAACGCCAGTAAATTTCAACAATTCGCTACTGGAGACGAGTCAGGCGAGGTGCATAATTTGGAATAAGTATGTTCTAAAATTCAAGGTTTTCCGATTATTTTGTTTATTATTCAAACTCCAAATGGCATAGCGTATTATGTAACAGGTGCGCACCTGGGATCTTCGAGTAAGTTCTCCGATGATATGCTCATGGAAAGAACAGGAAGCGGTGAGACTTATCGACTAGTTTCTAGCTCTCATTCAAGCGTAGAATTGATTATCACACTCAGCGATTGATGAGTTCTTGTTTTAAAGGACGTAAATGCTCTGAAGCTCGACAGTCGGCATAACTTGTTATCGGCCTCGTCGGATGGCACGCTCGCAGCTTATGAAGTGCGCAAGCGAAAATTACGTATGAAGAGCGAACTGATGCATTCGGAGCTCGTTAGTTTATGTGTTACAGAGAAGTGAGTTTTCATTCTTCTTCATTCCAGATCGTCAGCAAAATATCGGTAAAATCTATTACGTTTGAGCTTAAAATCATCGCTATGTTTGCTTCTGTTTTCCCGTAGCCCTGGACTGTTTCACCAATAAACAACAATAAAACCATCTGCTTTCTCGGTTTACAAAGTGGCTCTGTCAGCTCAAACTTTTTCGCCTTTTTGTAAGCATAACTTCTCTTTTTATCAGGTACGTTTATGCTGGTGGTCGGGATGGTTATCTCGAAGTATTTGTACATGGAGATTATGGCAATATTTTGGAGCGCATTGAATCGGGGTTTGAAATGGTTTGTTGCTTCTTCTACAACTTTTTAACTTTTCCTTCCTTCAATGAGCAGATTTGTGTTTCTCGTTGTCGATCAAGTTTTTAGGGAGTAGACGATGTCGTAGAACTACGAAAGGGCCTCCTGCTGACGTGCAGTGGATCGTCGGACAAGCTAAAGTACATTGTCTTTCTCGCTCCTTTTAGTTCATTTGTATGTTGTGGTTTTGTAGGCTTATAAACGTTATGCCAACAAAGAAATTGGGTACCGCTGGAACACATGGAGACGACGACGGCATCGATCAACTTCTGGTATGATTATTGCCAACGTTTGAATTTCATGGACAGGGCACCCTCGACAATGCACCTAATTGTTTAGGTATCGCCGGACCGTTCGACTTTAATATCGATGTCATCATTTGCAAATTCTATCAAATTCTGGCCTTTGAATAAACTACTGGAAAATGTACCTGTGCTGCGGGTTGTTGATATCAAAAAGCGCAAGCCCGTTGTCAAAGAAGGGTGAGATTGATTAACGAAGAACATTTCTGAAAGTTTCAATTTTCCTTCAATTACCCTTTTATGTTTTTGTTTCCTTCATTTCGGTTGGTTGGTTACTTTTTGCAAGGCATTCCAGACGCTACTATCACATTCAATGAGGATTGTTGAATTCCAAGGCTTATATCTGTTTATATGTTTTCTATTCATCTAGTTTAATTTTATTTGCCCTCGGTGGTACATGTTTAGGTAGAGCCCAATGTACTCATTGTAATTAGCTACTCGTTGCAGGTTTTTTGATGATCTCATGGATAAGACGAAAAAGAAGAGGAGAGCAGAAGAAGATGATGTTATGGAGAATGGAGTTGAGGATGGACCAGATGATGACTCTGATGTCGATGATGAAGATGAGGGTGAAGAGGATGATGAAGAGGAGGGAGAGGAAGAGGACGACGAAGAGGAGGAGGATGACGAAGAGGAGGAAGATGATTCTGAAAACGAGGCATAACTCTTTCCCGGTTTCTTTTGTTGTTACTCTTGCCATTCAGGTTTCGGTGTTACTTTTTTGGTTGTGCATGCATGAATTTTGGAAAGCTTTATTTNTTTATTTTTGTTACGCGTTCAGAGGTTTTACATAGTGCGGTAACATTTTTAATGAACCTCATCATTGTGACGGCTTTTGTATATATTGATTGCAGTGTTTCTCACAATACCTCTGATTCAGACCGTCTACTTGAACTAGCTTTAGTTCGATGTATTTGGTCCACTTGATCCTCTCACTTAGGTCAAATGCTCAGGTGTAATTTCTGTTCAACCGAACGGAGAGAACAATACAAGTGCCCCCGATGTGGTGCCACTTACTGCTCATTAAGGTCAGCCTGCCTCAGACTTTCAGAGAAAATTTTACCATTTTCCTACCACTGTTTGCGATCAGATGGACTTTCTTTCCCCATTCTACTATCGTTTCATGTTGCAGAGGTGGCTCTGGATGTTCATAAACGGAAATGCGATTTGTAGCTTGTTTTCCAGGTGTTACAAATGCCAGGAACATTCCAAATGCTCGGAAGATTTCTACAAACAATGCGTCAAAGAAGAATTGGAAGGTCGTCACTTCAAAGGAAATGGAAAAGGACAGGACACGTTTGAAGAGCGCATGCAGAAGTATCTGGATGGTGAATTGGATGAGATGCCAGGTAAATGTCATTTTCCATGCGTATGCCCTACTTGCTGCTAATTTTCCACATCTAGGCGCGGAAGGGAAAGGATCCTCAGCTGACGAAGCTGATCCGCTCGATTCTGATGATGAAGAGCCTGGTGTGAGTGGTTTTCAACCAAAAGCCGACCAATATTTGGAAAAAGTTGTCACCGACACGGTTGACGATTACCTTCTCGATGAGGACGAAATTGACAGAAGGTTACTGGTAAGGCAGCTGTTCATTTTCGTCGGTTCGTCATTCTGAATACTAATTATCAACTTATTCTAGGGATTGGGCATTGGAGGAGAAGTGGAACAATTGATGGGAGTTTTGAGCGATGAAGAACGTGCTGCTTTCGCCCAGCTAGCCGAACAAATTCATATCGATACAAGCGGGTTATCTGAGAGTTGTTTCAAGAAAAAATGACGTTTTCAGTTTTTTCCTCACTTTCAATAAATCATAACGGCAATGTTTCTGTGAGAATTCGCGGTCGAATCCGTTGCCTATTACTCTTTTCGTGCACCTCTGTATTTTCCTAGTGATCGGTTATTATACGATTTTTCGACTAGATCTGGCCAAGAATGCTACGATTAGCATCAATTTCACGTCTTTTCTCTCGTCGGTTAGCAACAGTCGCGGAAGTCGTTGACGAAACTGCACAGAAACAAGTTAGTTTTCTTTTTCTTGGTTTTTATCAGTAGGAGGGATTTTGCATTGAGATTCATCGCGCTGCAATTAAAGTAACCGAATGACCGTTAAGGTTTGCTCTTCGATTGCTTCTGAAGTTTCTGATCCACATAATCGGCTTTTTGCTGTCGTGTATGTGAATGGACGGCAATGGAAAGTTAGTCAAAATGATCTAATCGCCCTCACAGGGAGTCTACCGATAGCTATTGGCGACAAGATTAAGCTTGAAAAGGTACGTTTCGTGCCCAGTATACTATAGTTTGGTGTAGGATTATGGTTAAGAATGTTCATTGCAGTGGTCGTTAGTTGTCTAACGACAACCTGTTGAGCTCATTTTGAATGTAAGAAGATAGTGTATACACTTATGACTCTGTAACATTCCCTAACCCTGTTAATTTTCTGGAGGAAAGCTTTTTTTAGCAAATAACTCAGACACGTTTTTGCATCGATCCTCTCACTCTTTTGTTCCGTTCACTGAGGTAAAGGCAAAAACTTGACCTGTTCGTAATCCAACTCTATAATGAAAGCGGTTCTT